TTTGGGGCAGGAGCCCACATAAGGTGGGGACCAGTGGGACCTGTGAGGAAGACTCCATCTATTGGTGCGGAGCAGCACCTGCCGGAAAAAAAGGGAAAAAAAAAAACTGTGATTCTCCCTTCTCAAAAAAAGGAAAAAGAAAGAAAATGACCGTGAAGCCCACCGCCCTCTGGAAATGGAGGGACGAAAGCAGACCCCTTTGGGCTGTGATTAGTAACCAAGGGTCTCGTTAGACACTCCTAAAAGAATCCTCAATTTTTTAGGACGAGTCCTAAAGATTTTTTAGGATTTCGCGCGGCGTCGTTACACGCAATCCTAAAAATCATGTTTTAGGATTCGTCCTAAAAGGTCTCCCGCGGCCGGTTTTCATATGCGTATACGCAGCCGCGCCTCCGATGTCTGTCCATTCCTGGCTGGTGTCCGTGGTACACACTGCGGTGGCCCTTGGGAGGGTGAGGACGGGTCGGTGAAAAGCGCGGCAACCCCGAACTTCGAAAATTCAAATTCGAATTTTTGCGAACGCAGGGTGGCGGGGCGGAGGACGGCCAGGCGGCGCGTGTGACATAGAAAAGACGGCGCTGGCGAACCGTTCGGCGCGGGGACCCATCTTTCGAGTGTACGCAAGTTGTGACCAGCGGGCGTATCTTCCTGCAAGGCGCAACTTCACCTCCGGCGTGCGTACTGTCCTCTGGAAGCGTAGAGCAGCGGGCGCGTCTTCGGCTACGGCGTACGTCATCTCTTGTGCCAGCGTACAGCAGCGGGCGCATCCTCGGCTCCGGTGTGCGTGGTTTCCTGCGGCTGGGTTGAGCAGCGGGCGTGTCTTCGGCGGGTGTGGTAGGCGTTATGCTATAGAGGCGGAACGATTCTCAGAGATGGACGTTCGCGACTGCGGGCACGGTCTATGCGAAGAAGCGATCGACGCGGCGGCGATGGCGGTGACCGTCGTCGTCGTCAATACGATGAGCGACATGTCGTCGTCCTCACGCGACATGCTGATGCAGCTCCGTAAACGAAGAGTGTTGTTGCAAAGCGTTGCCGAAGCGCCGGATTGCGTGGCCACTTGTGAGGCAGTCGTCCAGTTGTGTGCCGCGCTGTCTTCTGGCGTTTTCCCGCGGCAGACCCCGCGTTGGTGGATTAGACGACGGACTGGCGGTACATGGGAGGACGTCCGCCTGTGTGATGACGCAACGGACGAGTATTACCGCAGAAGTTGCGCATGTCGAGGCCATGTTCACCCAGATCGTAGCCGCGTGCACCACGTACGTGGAGAAGAAGGTCACGCACTATAGGATGCCATTGCCAGTGGAGCAGGTGATCGCTTTCGCGTTGTACGGGTGGGCTTCCGGAGAGACGTACAAGAGCGGCACATCAGCCTTTGACATCGGGAGGGCCACTGCACTACAGGCCGTCCGCGACATGACTTCCGCGCTGATGCAGGCGTACCCCGACGCGATCAAGTGGCCAGTGGGCCGTAGACGTGCGCAGATTCTGCGTGCTTTCCGTGAGAAGGGTTTCCCGAACTGCTTCGGCGCAATCTACTGTACACACATCTACATTGACAAGCTCGCCGGCGCACCTTCGGCCAACTACTACGACCGCAAACAGAAGTTCTCCATGCAGGCGCAGGTGGTGGTGGATTTGGATCTGCGGATCCTCGACGTCCACCTCGGACACCCGGGAAGTGTGCACGACATCCGTGTCCTGCACAATTCCCGGCTGTGGAGGCGTGCAGAAACTGGCGAGCTGTTCGACGCACCTCCAGAGAATCTGCCGCACGGTGTAGTAACGCGAGGTTACCTGCTGGGCGACAACGGTTATCCAGTTGCCTGTCCATGGATCAAAGCACCCAATCAAAGCACTGCCAGCAACCGCAGGCCCTCAAACCCACGATACAGAGAAGATTAACAAGGCCCCTTCACGACGATGACAC